CAGGAATATGCATGTACATCACATGAATGTTCCAGGTATATTCTGGGAATATCATTTTGCTATGTGGGTTAACTTACCAGTTCGTCCTCCAGCGATGGCAGTAATAATTCCTCGAGTAGGACAGGGTTTTTTCAAAACTGTGCGAGTATTATTGGGAGGCTCGGACTGTTTGGCGCACAAGAACTTGTCCAAATCCGCGAAAGTGTATTTAGGCCGATTTTCTATCGCACTGTGTTGTGTTGGACTCGTCTTCAAAGTTTCGCTAATTCGGATGGCATCTGGCGGTGTAGACTGCAGTAGAAATGCTCCAGCTTTGAACTCAAACGGATCCGGGAACACAATGTAGACTAATGTGGATAGGAAGCAGAAAACGACCACCAGGAGAAAAATGAAGTTTTTGGAACAGCATTGCTTGGAGCGCTCTTTGCTTGCTTTGTCTGGTATCAGCGACTTCACTGAGCTATCCATTCATGAAGTGTTTTTCTCAATTTCGTTGGACACCCGCAATACCTTTCGTAATAATTCAACTTTTATAGTCTTAGCGCACTAAAAGGTGAGCTGATAGGCATTGTTATCTAATCTAGGTTTTGTTTGCACGATTTAACTGCTCCTATTATTCAAGGAATGTCTGTTGATGTTGGTTTGGGTGGGTTTGGAACTTTTTCGATCGTTTTTGGAAATGCGAAATTGGTCTATGAAACAGGCCAAAATCCTTGACCAAGTAGTAGGCGCTCAAAGGACTGTTTTGCCAGAAACTAGTTTTTTAACTTCACTATTACGGACTTTTTGAATCAACAGTTTTTCAGTGCGGACGGACGTTTTTTAATTAACGATGATCTAGCCATTTCCCTTGTGTGGGAAACACATTCAGGGAACTAATGAATTATAGTGCTTTTAGTTAATTATCTACGTGTAAAGTAATTTTTACCGCTCCTTGCACTGATAAACAATGTGCGTGTTTCTGTGGTGTTGCTTCGAAGCCCTTGCAAGGTTCAATGAGCGGGTGCAGTTTGTCCAAAACATTGGTTTCTCGCTCAGAATTGAAGTATCTTCCGGCAACGATTCCCTGCTGTATCTAGCTGTATCCCACGCGCGAGTTTTCACCAATTTTCTAGGAAAATAGTCGAATTTCGCCTTCATATGGAAACTTGGAGCGGATTTTGTCACGAAAGCCCAGATCTTTCGCTAAAATACACTTTTATTGGCGTCCATGTGCGGAGGACAGACTATGCTCTTTTCCTGGAAAGATCAGTTTTCCA